AGAAGGCTGCTACAGAATTATTTACTGCGGTTAGTATTATGTTTTTTTGAAGTTTATATTATCAGTTGTGTTCAAAATCAACTCTTATACATTTTAACAACATTGTAAAACTACCAAAATATCGCAAAGTATTCATCCCTACCGGAATTACTATAAACCAAAAGAAACTATGACAGGAAAACTTAATGACTTATATCGTTGTTACTCTCCTGTGTCTGTTGGCAGACCTCTCTAGTATAACCTTCTTCATTGTAAAACACACAACGAGTAGCAACTCCATCAAACACCCTGAGTCCCGGTAAACACTAGTCTTTTGTTTATTCTGAATGTGTATATTCGTTAGTGTTTATGTTCATTTATTTTATCTGTCGTCGGTTCAACATTCTTACTTCCTGTAGTTACGAGATTAAGGATTACCTTCACTTCCCACACGTCTTTATTGGCGCACAATCAAGCACAAGTGTAACTTCAAATTTATATTTTCTTATGTGGAAACTTTATTAATTTTTAATGTATTGTTTCTTTTTTAAGGCTTGTCTTCTTCCCTGGTGCGTGGAGGATGGAAAATATTGCCTACTTAATGCAAGACGCAACAGAATCATAACGGTAAGCAGTATAATCAATAGACGTTTGCTCTCGCTAGCATTTAAGAAATTCATATAGAAACCACATCAGCGACAAACGTAGTGATAAAATATAAACTTTATTTCTTTTTAGATTCTATTTGTAGTTGTATTAGTGTGAACTTGGAGTCTCAGTTTAATGAAAGGACTCCGTTTTAAGATACTTTAGAAAATAAAATAATCTGAAGGATATATTTAAACCTATGAAGATTGCAGTAACAAGCGACTGGGAAAAGTAGCATTGAGGAGCTCATTAATTTGTACACTTGGCTTAATATTTGTGACGAACTCGACAGTGGGGAAAATCAGAAATAAATACAAATATTTTTTGTTACAATATCCCAAACAGGCTACTTAGGACATTTAGGCGCACATGAGAGGTTTTTATTAAAATTTATTATGGAATAGAGCAGTATATTTATGGCACAAGATCGTGTCAAATGGCGGACTCTTGTAGCACCATTATGAAGCTCGGTGTTTTGTATAGAAAAGAATTTTGTAAACTGTTTCACCAAGGACGTAGAATTTCAGATGTGGTTTCCCCGATATTTAGTGTTCTGCCTTTCGCTGTTTGGAGAAAATGTAAATTTTAAATGTAGACTGTCCAGTTATTGTTCTGACGACATTGTTTCAACTCCAAAGGTTACACAGCTTCGAATTTAATATGAAGATTATCTTGTATCCTAAACAGTTATCCTTGTGATGGAGACACGTCGTTAAGGTAGGGACTGAACTTCTAAATCTTATGTAGATGAAATTCTGGTTTCAGGAGTTGACTGATAACCCACATGTACATGAATAGATTGCGAAATTCAATTGCTTGTTCTCTTAACTTTTTACTTCATCCTAATATAACGTAAAAACATCGATTCTCTTGTGTTATAAATCTGAGCCTTAAAAATATAGGCACCGAATTATAAATTTCGACATTGATATTGTTCTTTAATCATTAGTTTAACCTTAACTGTCTTCCAATCCCCGAACTCTGTACGACATTGCTCTATCTCCTTTAAGCTTGAACTCTGATTTTAAAATCTGCGTGATATATTTTATATGAAAGTACCAAAATGTATGGAAAGTTAAGTGTTATATTTCACTCAAGTTTCGTACATGTTAACATTTTATATAGCGACACTTTATAAACTTTTCTATAAATTTTGTACGGTTGTTTGTGGGCGTTAAAAATTCTGAAATATAACGACGGCGCAAACTTCCACGACATATTTAACCCACTTCCCTCATTTTATAAGAACACAGAGGCTTACTGTATTACCGTGTCTGCGCATCTATACCGATCATAGTTTTTGTGAATTAACGGATATCTGTGAAACTCTGTATGAACATCCTGTTACTAAATGCTTCCTGCCCGAACTTTGTAACTTTTCTCTCTGATCTATAATACCAGCATGGTAGGCATGAAAACTTCTGAAACGGAAGCGAAACTGAAGATAATTTAATATAAACTACGGAAATACATGTGGGAAAATACTTCCATTCTTCGTGTAGTGGTAAGTGAAACTCAGAAACTAGTATTACCTTCACAGTGTTGTGAGATTTCACGTTCTGACGGCGGCGAGGATGAAGATAGTTATCCTCTGGGTTGTGCCGTGTAGACTGGTAGATGTTTACCGACGTTTCAGAGGTGCTTACTGGCGGATGGAGGATGACAGGGGGGAGATAGACATCTTCATCTTTTCACAATATGTGTAGACACGCCTTCAAAAATACGCTTATTTCGTTTTATAAAAATATAAAGTAACAGCATGGCGCAGAGTGAAACAATTGTGTATTTATCTTTGAACCATTACAGCTAGGTATGAAATAATGTTCCAAGAGGCGTGATCATGAAACAACTACAGATCTCGTAAATTATAGCTTTTATATGATTACAAATGTGGCGATGGTGTAAATTTATATTTTATACGACGTATCTGATAAACCTACAGCAGTGTAATTTACATATAGGAGTAAAACACTAAGTTAAATATAATTTGTAGTTCTTGGTTGCGTTACTATATCACTTGAAGAATTTTGAGGAAATTTGGTATCTTTTGAGAGCTTCTTTGAACAAGTTACAGTGTCATAGACCATGTTAACTGTCCATTTAGAACAAAGATGGATTAATAATAGACATAGGACGTTCACCACCGCCAATACCAACGGCCGCACTGCACTCAATTCGCGATATGTCAGGTCACTGTAATTTACATTCTTAAATACTAAAACGTGGAATATCACTTTGAATTATATTTCTTATGTGAATCGTTATTTGCAATGATGAAATGACAGAGTTGAGACCAATGATGATTGAGGGAAATATAATGGACTTCCGCAGAGTAATGTTAAATTTAAATTTGGTTTATGTTCTTTCACAACATAGACATCCATGGGTCCACAAAGTGTTATACACTAACACTAGATCACCTGATAATTGAATGGTTCAGCAATATATAGGCCTAAGTTAAATTTGTCTATGATTTGTGTATCGCTATATGTGTGTTTAATGAATTCTTCTCCGGCTACCAGCCAACTGTCGTGTTGTTATTTATGGATTATAAAAGGTGTCTGTGATCACCAGCCAACTGTCGTGTTGTTATTTATAGATTCTAAAAGGTGTCTGTGATATCCAGTGGCATGATGTTCATACCAAGTTTAACGATGTATTTTAATTTGGTTCAAAATGTGTTAGGCGAGGACGTAAACTGACGAACACCCGCATACTACTTACATGAGTTAATAATTGCCTATAAAATAATAAAATACGCTAAAATACTTCTAAATTTATATATCGTGTATGGATAGAAAAGTCATATGCTTACCATACCGGTAGCAACAATTCACACCTGTAATGTCATATGACACGAAATATCTGTTATTGTCTATTGTATTACTGAGGTTTGAAGCCGTTTCCTATACGTTCCATGACCACATACAATGCCTCATTACACATTTCGAGTAATCTGACTCGCTAACAATGAGACCTGCATATTGATACATAGTGATGGTGGTAGTTGGCTTCTAAATGGGGTGTGAGCATTATGGGGAGGGTGTCCTTTACTTTGGCTTGTAAACTGATTGTTTTCCAGGGGTATAATCACAAGGGAGGAAGAGAGGGTGATCCAGTTATGATTGATGATGGGAATATGTACATCAAGGGCGGTGGTTAGGGGTTAGGAATAATAATAATCATAATAATATGCCTTCTAATATCGGCTGGATGATATTAAACAAGGCGACTGCTATGTCACTACAGACACAGCAGTCAAAAGGGGATGGAACGCTCTCTTATCTGATTGAATGGTGCAGAGGGGGTTGAAAAAATATTGATGCTGTCTCGTGAGTCATCTTCTGATACAGTAATTACATTTCAAAATGTAATCTCAGTCTGCAGTGATTACGCGTGTCAAATGGTTGATGTGGTAGGGTATATTGGATTATAGAGCAAACTTGTATGGAAACCACGCACAACAACTTCAGTGTCTACTTGACTGTTAAAGGAATGTCTTTCAACTAGTGGCCCGCTGCGGCATTTAGTGTGAGGAACGAATTGCCTAACGCAGTTTGAATTTTATCTCTGTGATGATTTCTTAGACACTGTTACATCGGATGATTCGATACAATTAGCCTGTTTCTTATATATTTCATGTTAATAATAAAAAAATGAAATGAAAAATAAGAATCTGTCTGGTAGGTCCAAGTGCATAAGAATGTTGACGGGAAAGTCCATAACGTTCTGATTAAAAATTTATATCGTTACAGATGAACACTGCAATTGGTTTCTTTTTTTTGTCAGAACCAACTTAAAAAGCAGAACTTCGATGAAATAAATTTCTTTAGTTTCTTAATTTTCAAGAACGCTTTTCCAACAACTTTTCGTTGAATGTACGTGTAATTGTGTGTAATAAGTTGGGGAGACACATACGAAATTATTATTACCTGTTATAAGGAATTGTTCCATAATTTGTGTGAAAGAATTTAGGAAACCCAAGAAATATCGCAGATAAACCGATTTTCGCGTAGAAATAAACCTAGAATCTCTTTAAAAGAAATAGGTAGTATGCCGACGGTTCCAACTCAACCGGGTCATTTTATAATGTGAGAAAGAATGAAGCTAAAGAAAGGTACAAGGGAAGGAGTGTTCAAAGAAAGAGCTAAGGGAGTTTAAAGAGAGAAAAGCAATGAAGAAAATAAAGGACGAATGAAGGAAAGAGAGGACAGGCAAAGATGGAAGCATTCAGTTTAGATCAGTGTCCTCGGGGATGTAGTGAATTACAGACCGATGGACACTGACGTTTCAGAAGAACTTACTGTCTTCATCATTGCCCAGATGATGAAGGCGGCAAGTTCTTCCGAAATGTCGGTCACTTTCCACCTGACTACACGGTTCTACATCCCCGTCCACAGCCTTCTTCATAAGCGTCGCAGTGAAAACCTTAAATCTCGCTTACTAAAGAATGACAAGTTTTTAAGGTTTTATGACGATTGAATGTAATGGCGTGTTATCAGGTTTTCTGCCGTGTGAGAATGGCGTAAAGACTTGTTCCAAATTAACAGTAAAGCCAGGCACTCGCGAATTGTCGTCATGGTCCATTCTCACTCCTAAATTTTCATTACTCCTGTTTTGCTCTAGGGCTGAGTTGTTGGGTTTACAGTGACATTTTGTTGACGTTCAGATCAAGACAAGCATACCACCTGCTGGGCTGATATGGCAATCCATTATTCTGCCACCAGCTGTAAGGGTGTTATTAAACTCACCCCTTGCTTCTATTTGATACCCTCAATGTCGTTTTCTGATTCTGCTATAGGCGATTTTTTCCTGTCGTTAGAAAACATGACACTGTGTCATTAATATCACCTACCAGTCACTACGTCTATAGTCTCTTCAATCATTGATGTTCGGTGTCAAATAGTTTTTACAAAACCTTCAAATAGAGGAAAATTGTTTTAATTAAGGTTGTAACTTAGTTTGAAATGCCATAAGTA